GTCAATGTCATCATCTCTAACACCGTTCGTAATGCAGCTTCGCTGCCTCCGCATGCATTCAGGGATTCTGGACAACAAACCTTACGTTGCCCTACCGTCCATCCGATTGATACCTTAAGCTGTAAGCTAGACCTTTAAAAGTTACTCGCTGAGGCTGTTTATCCCCCGCAAATTTTCATTATTTCCTTTGATTCGTGAGGTCTACCTGCTTTCTCCTCGGTAACCCTCAAATCTTCTGACTTACAGTGAATAGCAAATGTCGCTCCAAGACGACGGCAAAGTATTCGCATAACATACTTTTAACAGGTGATCTGGAGTACCTTCTTCTCTTTTAACTACTTGATGAAATACGTGGTCTGCAAGAGTTCAGAGATTATCCCGCGTAAAGTAACTTTGCGCGGTGTTTTAAAATGTGGGTAGGAATTCATCGTAAGGCCGCCTAATGGTAACAGCAGTTGCTGTAATAGTTTTTTTGGTCTATAGACTTCCTTTGTGCACCAAGGGGATTTGTTTTTATAGTTTACCCGGTCAATAGGCTTTTTGCTACTCAATAGCCATTGCCCTTACAGTTTTCTTAGTCATTTTTGTTCTTTCCACACCCTTTGAAACAATTGCAAACGGTTTTAATTTATTTCCTTTTGTTCACTTATCTCGACTTAACTACCCATTAATCGAGCATTAAACCTGGAACCGCGAGTTCCGACTGGGAGACTTTTGCTACTGGGCAGACCTACGATGAATCCCAACCAAAATGTGTTTGGGTGCGTTTGTGCTCCGGGATCCATGTATTCTATTGTCTGACCCACGCAATAGATGGTGCCTCTCTGTTGATGCCGTTATTGTGTGTTGGTAGTGTCAGCATTCCAAATAAACCTTTTCGCTAACCCTCTTCAAAAATGTCTGTTTGGACTAGTCCTCGTATAAAGAATCGCTGATCCGTTAAGATATTGTTATTGCTTCAGTTTTTTCTCATGTCATTCGTTTATTTTCAGACGAATCGCCCCATGCGGTCTTCTTTCATCCGTTTCCTAACGTGCCAAGTGAATCTGAGGATGTCTCGGAGCTAACAGAGATTACTGCGTCAGAACCCAGTCTTCTGTCCCTTAGCAGAACTATGTGCAGAGCCATGTCACCTTCGCCCCCTTCGGAGACAGGTAGTCGTCATGTGGCATGTACTTGCCCATCATGGGCTGCAAGCTATCCACGTTTTTAAATAACCGCTTAATCTTTTCGAGATGGTTTTACTCAACTGTCTCAATTCCACTTTCTAGGTGTCGCATTAGTGGACGAACAGTCTAATCACGAAACAGAGCCCATCTGTCTCAAAGCTACGGCGAGCACTTTCGTTGTGGCAAAAGCCTGCTCTCCGAGAACGAGCACGGCAGATGAGAAGCCTGTCCCTCAGTTTCAGCCACCGTTAACATGTAAGTCTTGCTTGTTGGACTTTGTATATCCCTCTTTCACTTGTTGCTCTGGCTCTTGACTAAGGTGAAACCTTCACCAGCATGCACTTGTCATTGTTGGATATTTCTGTCGGAAGAAAAAAACATACTTTTAAAACAAATCCCTTGCTGGAAGCCAGCAATTTTTGTGTGTCAAAACCCTGCAAAGTGATTTGGTTGCGTTCACCAGCCCCGGCCCTGGCCGTCTTTGTAAAATTCACAGTTTCTTACCTACCTGTTGTTCGCAATACGAGAAGAGCTCGAACGGGAATCGATGGACTTGTATGTGAGCCCGCTGAGGAGCCGACTGTGTATGTAGCCAAATCGGGAAGCCATTAGTGGTATTGTATGCGAACTCAAACTGTACGTGCCCTCACCTAGTTCGGAGTACCGCGTTTTATACGTGAACGTTTTTGCATCAAAACATTAGGGAGGGTACTAATTCTTAGTGTTGGTTAGGGACTCCTGCCCTCTCCCTCAACCAATTTATTGGCTGTCTGTCAATTGGTTCGTGTTTCCTCCGCCTCCCCGGCCGAATCATTTTCCCCAGCCGAGGACCCCAAAAGTCGTTCTTTCCTGCGGGAAATCCCATACGTTGAACGTACTCCCAGAAGATGCAATACAATACAGTACAACATTCAGACGTCGAAAATCCCAGTAAGTGAATCTTCTGGGGATTTAAATAAGGTGAGTACGTTTCACGTTTGGGATTTCCCGCAAAGACTTGTTCTGTGTGTGTGCGCGCAGAAAAGAACGACTTTTGGGGACCGTGGGCATTGTTGTTACCATTTGGCTTTTACGCTCCTGTTTTTATTCTGTTCGACCCACCCAACGGCCACACCCATGCGTTGTCGGGCTGACTACCTCTTACTCATTGACTTTCGTCTTAACTAATAGATTTTTATCCTCCTACTTCCGCCCCTCCTCCCCCACGCTTGGCATCAGCCTACGCAAGCTTTCGATACATTCTCACCGGGGAATATGGGAATGGGATCAAGGGTGAAGCCTGCAGCCATTTCTTTTCGTCATCCCATCCAAATGAGTCATGGGATTGTTGTGGGGGGGGTTGATAAGAGAGGGCTGATTACTCGTCGGTAAGGGTTTGATGGAG